GTTAAATATTTGGCTTGTCGATGTTTCAAATAATTATTCAAATAAAATGATAAAATGTCATTTTAGAAGTCTTATTGGATGAATAACTATGAAAGTTGCAGATTCGTCAAACAAGTGACTATCTGTTCTGTTGTGTCATTTTGTTTATGAACGTATGATTGAAAACAGAAAGACATTCTCTATCTTCTGGAAAAAATGTTTTCATTCAACATCCTTCTCTTGAAAAGGAAAAACCAGTCGACATTTATACTATTAATTTTGCATTACATGTTACTATAGCATTTATAATCTGAGCATAGAAGATTCTGTACTTCTTCTAATCATTGGAAGAAATACTTTTAGTTTTCTGATTCAAACAAATTTTTTTCTCGTACTTTCAGTCATTGGAACCAGAGCTCAAAATGCTTACACTTATTTCTAGTTGTGAACCTTGCACTGATTAACTTGTCTACTATTTTTAGTGTCAATGAAAATAATAATACTAGATTTGTTTCTTCGATAAACAACAACATACAAGCAAAAATACATTCTTTCGCTCGACTGCTTTATCATTTATCAATTGTCAATCATAATTGTGTTTTCATTAGTACTTATTCACATAGAGATAAACTATGATAAATCGAATGTTCTCATATGTTTACAACAGTTAATTTTTGTATATATATATTTCTAGATAGAAACATGATAAATGTTTGAAGGTGTTATTAAAACATGTATCATTAAATTTTCTATAAGAATGCAAATAAAAAATCCTTCTTGATTAAACAGAAAGATATGCTAAAGACTATATTTTGTCATTATAAAAATGAAATAAATGCTCTATGAATAATATATTTATCACCACGATCAAGCTAATAGTTGCGTAGATTGATACTCTTAATATTGAAAAATTGTTCAAAAGAATTCGAAATAGCTAACAGATAATCGCTCGTTGAAATGAAGAAGCGGATTTGAATTAAAAGACTGAAAACCAACAATGTTACGTGCATTTTTTCATTTGATCCTCTGTGGAATCGATGAGAATTTATCGAATAGGAATGTTTATTTTGTTAAGTGTAGAAAATTTAATGACAAATTTTCATGAGTTATCTCTATAAAAATTAATGCAAAATAAACTACACTTAACATGTTGGCACAATGCATATGTTCCATACTTTACAGTGTGTATATGTAGTGCATACAATTAGAGGAGAAAGCAGATCGATTTCCTTCTTTCAAATTCTTCTTGCATTGTGTATTTTTTCCTCTGGAAATTTTCTTCGGTTGATAAGAATGTAATCCTCATCGCCGAAAACGAGATCATCGAAAAGTGAGATCGCCGAATTTTTTTCGATGATCTTTATCAGATACATTCTTTCCGCAATCATTATTTTCGTTCACTCATTCGGTAAGTATGTTCTTCGCTGAAAGATACATCGTCGAAATATGATTTCGACAATGTGGCAATCGCCAATCTATCATTTTTTTCACTAAAAAACTAACTGAAATTTAGGTACTGTACGTCGAACCGTACCTCAAATATATATACTTTACCTCCAAGAAACATCTATTCTCATCTCCTGAGTTTTTCGTGAAAAGTGATGACCGGGGGGAGGGACGGGGAGTAGCGCTGCGAAGACTCCTGTACTTCCCCTCAGGGCACAGTCAAATCTTGTGAAATTTTGTTAGAGTTTTTGACAAAATATAGGTAATATAGGAATTATAGGATGAATCCGACCCCAAATTGCGACGATGTAGTCATTGACAATGCTTTTTTTCAACGATAAGGTACACAATTGCTAAGTCAAAGTGCCTAGTTTGAATTAGGAACTAACTTAAGTTAAGAATTGGCTTAAGTCAGGAACTAGCTTACTCAGGAATTAGGTCAGAAACTAAAACAAACTGGGAATCTATTGCAAAACTCGATTGCAATTCATGATGTTTATGACATAGATAAATAGCGGCTCTCTGTATACGATTCATATCGAATATGTGAACGAAAATAATGATTGCGGAAAGGATATATTTGATAAAGATCATCGAAAAAAATTTTGCGATCTTTATTCTGATGATCTTTATATCGATGATATCTATTTCGGCGATGTCGTTTTCGGCGATGAGCATTACATTCACTAGGCACAAGCACTTATTGACAGTAGTGGAAGATTGATTGAAGTGAGTATTGCATCTATTGAGTAATTAACTAAATATTCTACAGATAATGATGATGGATCGGTCTACAATGATGAGCACAGCATTCATTGGCTAATAGAGCCCGTCGAGTCAGGGTTTAACACCATAGTTGTTACTCTAAAAGTAATACTCAGTTATGTCCACATTCTTATATGATCACTGACAAGATAGTCATGAAAAATATGTAGGTTATTGATGATATTATGAATAAGGATTAGGTTCGGATCCAAAACTGTTGAACTTGATGGACTCAACTGACAAGGAAAATATACGAAAGATGCGCACGGAACGTGAGGTGAGGGTTTGAAAATAACACGGATCAATCAAAGTCATTAGACTCACACTATCATTTAGCACTCTCAGAATCCTCATGTGCATCCCGGTGGTATTCAAAAACAAATACACCAAACGCTTCACTTGCACTATAATGTTTATTCTTGATACGTTCTTTCAGAAAAATCATACTCGAAGTGATTATAAAAGTTGAGTAAAAAACTGTATGTCATTGATGAATGTTGTTGTCAAATAGAAAATGATTGAACTGTTGTCATGTTTATTTCACTAAAAAGAGGATCAATGATTACAGAATTCTATTAGAAACATACTTGTGTAAAAAGATTTGGACACCACGGAAAAAAACCTATTTAACCACAACCGCGAAAACATTCTTGTAAAATAAAACATTTTATGCATCAAATTAACAGATGGTTTTTATTGAGAAACAAATCAAAATCTCAATATAGAATGTTGAACAAATAAAATTTTTCATAGCTATCACGACTGAAAATAACAAGATTAGATATAATTAAATATCCATATCATGAACAATTGAGAAAGAGAAAACTAATAATTGTTGAATTCGATTGTATCTAGTTATTTCAATAAAGTCAGATGTCATATAACTGGTATCAATAAAAATATTCTGCAGTTATTTACATCTATTTACAATAGTTATTCAATAAGGAAATAAGTAAACTTGAATAAAACAACAGTACATCAGAAAATTTTAAAGAAATGCAGTATAATTTAATTTTACATATATAACTGAAATTTTGATTCTTTTTGAGTACGATCATGATTAGCAAAGAAGACATCATCTGTAATATGAGTTAACATTTATTCATAACAAACGAGAACTGATGAAAAGAACTAAAGCAACAAAAATAAAATTCAACTGCATTTCTTTAAAATTTTTTGATAAACTATTGTTTTATTCAAGATCATAAAATCTTAAATAGGTTTTAAATGGCCAGTTATTAGTTCTCATGGTTATGTTTATATGAATTTATTTACTCGTTGTGCATAGTAACACAATTTTTTGTTGTTTTAATTTCTTTTAATCAGTTATTGTTGGTTAGGAATCAAAATGTGTATCAGTCAAATGAATAAAAAACTTAGAAATATATGCAAAAGTAGCATGTCGCGATAACACAAGTGTATTGATATTATCTGTATCATTTTTACATTTAAAACTTTTACTACATTTTTTCAATACTCTGTGTAGAAAATAGCAATGCAATGTTACTCTTTGTTCACTGTTGGCAATTTCTTTATCAGTTCTGATATGAGCTTACTAATGAGTGTTAATAAAAGAAAAATATTATAACAAGAGCGTTTCTCAGTTACCGAAAGCGTAATTTTTTAGTTATATACTTGTAATACAAATTTATGTACGTTAAAAAAATATAATGATCACGTTAAGCATTGATGATATCATCTTTCTTTATTCAAACAAATACACCAAGCATACGATTCAATTATCGTGTTTTTTTTTACTTTTCAATTACGAAAGTAAGAAAGGTTCATCTCTTCAATATCTCCACCAGTTTTAGCTAAGAAACTATGAAGGATTCTTCTCATTATTTGCCAACTATATGGAAACATGTTTGTATAGAACAGATGTTTTTTTGTTGTTGTCATTTTCACACACGCTTACGTTGTGTGGGCTTTAAATATAAAAAAAAAAAAAAAATTTGAATATGATTTCTTGATGAATCGTAGAAATTAATAAAAGAAGAGCAGTTAATATAACACAAGAAAACAAAATTTCTTTTTATTATATATATAATACGAATGAATAAAAATCAAAAATTACTCTAGCAAGATTGTGAGTGATGATCTATTCATTCTACACATGGCAAAACTTAAGTTTTTGGGTGTTTCTAGATGAAATTTGGATAATAACTGATATAAAACTTTTGCTTGTTTATTGTTATACTAATATGTAACGCCTAGATTTAAGTGTTCCATTCATTTTAAATTGGTGATAATTACTTCGATGTTTCATAATTTTCAAATTTCAATAACAGTATATTTGGCCAGTAGAAATCGTTATTTAACTATTGCTTCAATTAAAATTGAAATTATATTTTTTCTTGTTTCGTTCACATTATCAGCATGTCAATCATATGCATAATGAGGAAAAAAATCACACTAACGCTGTCCTTGCTGTCGTTTTCGTTCTTGTTGGAGAGAATGAAACAAAATTATACAACGTATAAGACAAGGTATCTGATGCAATGAAACTCAAGTCACGCTTCACATGGCACATAAATGAAAGTGGGAAAAAATTATCATACCATCAATGATGTTATTGGTTTTTTCCCTTTAATTTATTTTTGATAAGCATATCTTCAATTACTAATAGGCATATTTTATTATCGAGTGCCAACGAAAAACCAAAATATTCATATTTGACGTCAGAGAAAAATCTAGAAAAAAGACAACGTGCATCAAATGTATAAATACAAAAAGTAAACTCTGTCCAAACAGCCATTTTCTATTGACAATACACAACTACCTATCGCACACGAAACATTACATCAAAAATGAGTCGACCATCAAGACGACGCCTTCCTGAAAACTACATGGTTATTTGGGTTGATGGAAATATGGATATGGCCAATAAAGATTGCCAAAATACAATGGATCAATTGCGTGGTGTCGTGAATCAAGTCAATCCGTGTACAACAGCTGAAGAATGTATTCAACAGCTGAATGAAAATCCTGAAGAGATATCATTTGTTATCTCCTCAGGTGCACTTGGACAACATATGGTACCAGACATTCATGATATGGCAAAATTAAATGCCATATACATTTTTTGTCCTAAGAAAGAACGGTATCAAGATTGGGCCCAAAATTGGGCAAAAATCAAAGGCGTTCACACATCAATCAAACATATTTGTAAAAAATTGGCAACAGCTATTAAACAATGCAATCAAGATCATATGTCGGTAAGCATTGTTAGTGTGAATGCACGAGGTTCTAGTAAGAATCTAGATCAGCTAGAACCTTCGTTCATGTATTCCCAAATATTCAAGGAAATACTCCTTGACATAGCACATTGTCATCAAGACTTTGAAGACTTGATCACATTTTGCCGAAATGAATACAAAGACAATACCCAGGAGATGAAGAATATTGCAGATTTTGAAAATACTTATCACGCAACAAAAGCTCTTTGGTGGTATACACGCCAATGCTTCACTTATAAAATGCTTAATGGCGCCTTAAGAACACTCAATGGCGATATTATAATCCGAATGGGATTTTTCCTGTGTGATGTACATCGTCAAATAGAAACCTTGTACAAGAATCAGGTCAGTCAATACCATAACAAGATTTTTACGGTCTTTCGAGGACAAGGCCTATCGAAAGCTGATTTTGAAAAGCTCGCAGAAAACAAAGGTGGACTTATTTCTTTTAACAACTTTTTATCCACTAGCAGAAATCCAAATGTCTCCCTCATTTTTGCCAAGAGAGCTTTAAAAATGACCGATATGGTCGGAATTCTATTCTACATAACTATTGATCCTACAATCTCATCAACTCCATTCGCCTCCATTCGAGAGGAAAGTTACTTCAAGGGTGAGGAAGAAATTCTCTTCTCCATGCACACGGTATTTCGAATTAGTAAAGTTCGAAAAATTGACAACAATCATGCACTTTATCAGGTTGATCTTAAACTTACGTCAGATGATGATCCACAACTTCGAGAATTAACTGACTTTATACGAAAAGAGGTCAGCGGCACCGGATGGCGTCGAATGGGTCAATTGTTACTCAAAATAGGTCAATTCGACAAGGCCGAAGAACTATATATGGCACTACTAGAACAGGCATCGAACGATAGTGATAGAGCATACATCTATCACCAGCTTGGATGGTTGAAAAACGACCAAGGACAATACGCAAAAGCAGTTGCATTTTACGAACAATCTCTGAAAATCTACCGAAAAACTCTCCCCGAAGATCATCCTTCATTAGCTACTATGTACAATAATGTTGCTCAAGCGTATAACGACATGGGCGACTACTTGAAAGCGCTTGAATTTTACAAAAAAACACTTAAAATTGAAGAAAAAGCTCTGCCTTCGAATCATCCTCATTTGGCTACTTCGTACAGCAACATCGGTCAAGTGCATAACAACATGGGTGACTACTCGAAAGCACTTGAATTTTACGAAAAAGATCTTGAAATCACAAAAAGAGTTCTGCCTTCGAATCATCCCTCATTGGCTTCTTCGTACAACAACATCGGTGGAGTGTACAGCGATATGGGTGACTACTCAAAAGCACTTGAATTTTACGAAAAATATCTTGAAATAAGAAAAAAAGCTCTGCCTTCGAATCATCCCGATTTGGCTACTTCCTACGACACAATCGGTCAAGTGTATAATAACATGGGTGACTACTCGAAAGCACTTGAATTCTACGAAAAATCACATCAAATCTTGAAAAAAGCTCTGCCTTCGACTCATCCTCATTTGGCTGGAAATCATTTGAGTTTTGCAGCATATTACGAAAAAATGGGTGATTACACAACAGCTCTTAAAGCCCTTAAAAATGCTTATCAAATTCAGCGAAAAGCTTTTGAAGAAGGTAATCGAGCTTTTTCTTTTACGTACAGTAGGTTAGGAAGAGTTTATCGCAGTATGAAAGATTACTCAAAAGCACTTGAGTATTTTGAAAAGCGGCTCGCAATAGATGAAAAAACACTACCTGAGAATCATCCATATTTTGGTATATCATACAGTAATATTGGTGATGTTCATCGTTTAATGGGTGATTATGAGAAGGCACTTACATTTCATCGAAAAGCATTAAATTTTCAAGAAAATGTTCGATGTAATCCTCTCCAATGTGCAACGACATATATCAATTTGGGTGAAACTTATCGTCAAATGAAAAATTATACAATGGCATTGACATATTATCAAAAAGGATTAAAAATACGGGAACAGAAACTATCAAAAAGTCATCCTGATTTAGCTGTAGCATATCACAATTTGGCGAAATTATATTTATCTACTCGACAATATAATATGGCAATGCAAAATGTTCAACAAGCCGTAGAAATCGCTCAAGAAAAATTACCCTCAAATCATCCTCATGTTTCGGAATATAAAGAAACATTAGAAAAAATTCGAAAGAAAATGTAATTCGTCTTTATTTCGATTTGCTTA